AATAATAATAATAATAATAATAATAATAATAATAATAATAATAATAATAAATCCTGTGCTACAAACAAAAACACCAACAAGGAAACATCCCGGATATAAAAAGAATTGAGGCACAAGCGGGAGGATAAAAAGAGGATCAGCATGACTGCTGGCAGGATTATTAATCACTGTTCTGCTCTGCCACACACTGCGCTGATGCGAGCATTTCTGCAGCTCCCAAAATAAAAAGTGCAAATGTGAAGTTGATTTCAGCGTGAATCAGTTTCCTGACAGGAAAAAGCAGTAAACGGCGGAGGAATACGAGTTTATGTCCATTTGTTGGGAGAGGCTGTTGTGGCCTGACAGAGGGCTGTGAATGTCCGGTGTGTGAGGTGTGTGAGGTGTGTGAGGTGTGACCTGTGTGTGGCCGGCTCGGGGAGAAGGGACTTACCTTGGTTATTGGTGAACAGCTGGGACACGTTGGCACAGGAGATGCTCACCACCTGTCCCACCTCAGCACGATGCCAGCACCGAATGTTGTCCCAAACTGTGGAGCAGCCTGAGACGGGGACACAACATTTAGCTCACAGCTACCAGGACGGGAATAACACCTGAATAGAGCCACATATTATCCTGCACCAATGTAGTCAAACACACAGCGACAGCAGAGAAAGCAGAAAAAAAAAGATCAGTCTAAATAGACTCTTTTTGGTAAATTGACCATTTCCTATTTTTCTTTACTGGAATAGTTTAGTTTGTCGGTTAAATAAGCGGTGCTTCCCTTCCTTACTATAGCTGAAAGAGACTCGTTCAATCAATCATAAAAAATCACAGCAATGAGTAAAAGCTGACAAAGCAAATCAATTATTCTAAGTTTGACAGCTTTACTATCTTTTAGGCTGTATGGAACATGGCCGCCATCTTGGAAGCTGCCATATTAGATCAAGGGCCAGCTTTTCCAAAGGGAAGGTGGTGAAGTAAGATATCAAAGAAGAGCAGAACTCTCTCAGAAATCAATTCCCCCAACACATTTGAAAAAATAACAAAGCAGTGACATGGCGAGGGTCAGCCTAACGGTGGCCTTTAAATGAAACCTCCTGAAAAAGTTCAGCAAAACCGAATCCCTTCAGACTGGAGCCATCCTGGCTCATCAGCTCCTGCTCTGGTTTTGACCTGGAAGTAACAGCACAGGCAGGAGGAAGAGGAAAAACAACTGGGACAAGGAGTCCTGCCCAATTAAACGGCCTCCTGGAGCTGTATCTGGACTTAATGGAGTGGCATCATGGAGGTTGATGGAGGAAATTCAATTTATACCACCTCAGTCACTGCTCAGGATGATTGCTTTTTCATTTATCTCCATTATTTTGACCTTGCGTGCCTCTTAAACTCCAGCTAATGACTTCAAAGGTGCAGAAAGTCAGCGCTCAAGTGTTACTTTTGAGGGGTTTCCCCTGGTCTGGAAAAAGTGAAGGGGCGTTTGAATGGATGACGTCCTCAGCCCTCCTCTCTGCCCACGCTCTGTCTCTGCTGCTCCCATCACATGGCTGATGAGCTCTCCCTACAGCCCTCTGCCTCTCCCAATGAAAGCCGGGTGTGCGTTTGCATGTGTGATGAGTGAAAGCAGTAATGAGGCGCCACCACAACGCCTCGTACATCAAAGCTCCCCAACCCTTTGTCAATTAAAGCACGCCACCACTCATTCATAATAAAACACAGCTTCTGGCCACGGCTGCAGGTTCTCCTGCCAAAGTTGGGAGAAACGGGCATCTTGCTGGGTAAATGTGGCTTTGAACGCCCTTTTAATTCCTTTTTGTTTTTCCCCGATTGCTTTTACACGTACACCAAAATACGGTTGACATTTTCATTTTTCACCGGCTGTATTGATAAAAGATGGAGTCTTGTGCCGCTGTTGAAAGCTTTAACAGCACTCAGGGTGATGAATAGCCATTTTTGTTTGTCACTGAGTGAAGGAGACCCCGTAAATGCCACTGATGTCCCCTCATTAGCTGCTAATTAAAGCATAGCTGGTGACATTCTGGCAGGATGATGCAGAGGATGGATGGACCCGTGCTTCTCTCATCACATATTAACGGCTCTTTTCGTCCTGCTCGCAGCGGCTATGTCGAGCACATTGCACCACACCAGAGACAGTAATGGAGGATCACTGGACTGGCTGACAGGTTGTTATGTAACGAGCATCGTTCTGGTTAAACATGCATGAAAGTCTCAGCCAACGGAAGCACATAGAAGTGAGAGGGAATTCTCTTCGGGCTCCTGCGCTGATTCATTATCAAAGTTGGTGTTTTTAAAGATACACCACGTGATTCTTATAATCTCAGTCCGATTGTTGGCCTTCCAGTCAGAGAATGGAAATTGGACCGTAATTGCCAATTGAACCATATTACAGATCCACTGATCCTGTGGAAAAGCTTTAAAAAAACAATGAGAATGTGAGGCTTCTTTTCCTGTATATATTGTTCAAAATTTTGCCTTAAAATCCAAAGTTTAGAAGAATTTTAACAAATGTATATTTTCAAATGAGACAAAAAGACTGCGGCTCCCATCATGCACCTCTCATCCCTCTGCTCTCTTTCCTCTCCATGTATATGTGACGATATTGTTCTCATTTACTTGTGTTTCTCTTTCTGGTGGCCCCTCTTTTCTGTCCTCACAGCTGGTCCAGACACATGGTATTGGTTCTGATGGAGATTTATTTTTATTCAAAGGGATTTCTTTCCCCACAGTCACCACATACACACTCAGAATGGGGGTTTGGATCTGAGACAAATTTCAGAGCAACTAGCTCTGTTTGAAGTGGACCAATTTAATTACCTAAAATTAATTGAATGAATCACAGTCAGAGGTTTCCCTGTTTGAATCCTGGCTGGTTCTTTCTGTGTGGAGTTTGTGTATCTGGGTTTACTCCCACAGTCCAAAAACACATGCTCCAGCCCCCCGTGTGATCCGATAATAGAAATGTATCCCTTAATCAGTCATACTTTGAATTATAGGAACATTTTTATCATTTGAAGTCTGATTTGAGAAGTAATATTCTATCTTGTGTTAAAAAAGGAGGCATAAACAGTTATCAGCCCTGATTCTTTTAGATTGTTTTTTTATTTTGGTGTCACTAAAGAGAGAAATCCTTCCTTTTCATCTTAAATCTGTGTGTTTTAAAGTATGCCGCACTTACCGGTACACATGAGTAAGGGGTAAGAAAATAAGAATCCTGAGCACATCAGTAAAGCGCTCTGTAAAGTTTAGAAAGAATCAATCCAGCCCATGAGGCTAACTGAGAATTATTATAAAGAAAACATATTTCCTGAGTTACCCACTGAAAACCTCCAAAGGCAGGAACCAGGGGGTGAACCCAGATGAACCCCTTCAGCTTCCTCTGGATGGAGCATCTGAGCCCAGACTCCCTCCGAAGAAAACTCATGTATCTACCACCTCATTCTTTGGGTCTCTACCCAGATCTGTGAGCAGAGGGGAGGATTGTTTTCTTTGCAGGGAGCTGTGAAAGGTCACACCTGGCTGCACAGATTTCACGGATCCCCCCCCTGTGATATTTGTGTAACCGATAACAAACATCAGGAACCAGTTATGAAGACAGCTTTGTCATTCCCTTCACAAACATAATGAGTGAGGGAGAATCAGATTGATCAAATGTCACTCTGAACATATGGCCTTCATTTCCTCCGCACAATCTGGGTTCAAACCTCCTCTGACTGAATTTTCACGATTCAATAAAGCAGGCACACTGCAATAATGTCACAAATAAAACAAGAGTAGTGGCCTGTAGTGGGATGTTTAATACAGCGGATAAAAGAGATTATGAAAACAGAAAAGTTTAGGCCCTTCAGAAGGAGATCTAATCTAATCTCCTTCACAAAGTCAAACCCCGAGACTGAGCAGACCAAACACCTAAAGATGGCAATGAAGTCCACATATCGGGGGATATTTTTAGAGCAAAGTCTATTAGATGAAATCCAGCTGCTAAACAAAAGAGTAAAGTCTGTAAGCATTCCTGTGAAATCAAAATCATAACATTTGTGTTCTTTTTATTCATCTCTGGCCTCCAGAAAGGTTTTCTCTGACCGATTCAGGAGAGACAAATACCTTTGTTCGGTGTTTCAGGTTTTTTAAAAGCAGCGGTGTAGGAACATCTCCTGGAACTGGTGAATAAACGGCAAACCTGCTATTTAATGGTGGATCATGGGCATCGTAGGAGATAAATGTTGCTTTTAACTGGTTTAACTGGTTATGACTGGGTTATGACTGGTTATGACTGGGCTGAACACACATGTGATAGTCAGAGTCGCTATTTAACGGGGAGAAAAACACAAATTAGAAGGATTCTACTCTAAATAAATGATGAATGCTCATGCCACTATATTGGTGCCGTTTTCTTGCCGTAAATCTCCCAAATTAAATTAATTTGTAACATAATTATCTAAAAATGTGCACTTGTCAATCTCAAGAGACCTCGTTAAAATGTTTAAAGATTTATTGTACCTTTTCAGTCCTGTTTAAAAAAGGAATTATCAATCAACTATTTCCTTTTTTTATCCTTTATTAAAAGGATTATCTTACAATTTTCACTGGCCAGTTAATTAATATTTGTTAACATCAATTATTTTTATACACAGTAGCTGCATTTTTTATAATTGGGAATATAATATTAGAGACCAAAAAATCAAATTTATGAACATGTAACTCATTGACTGATAAATGTAGTTTGAACTCTGTGGTAACTGTGGTAGATAACATGCATCCATCCATTTTCTGAACAGCTTATTCCCTAATGGGTTCGCAGTGGGACTGGACTCTATCCCAGTGGTCAATGGGCGAGAGGCGGGGTTACCCTGGACGGTACGCCAGTCCATCGCGGGGCCACACAGAGACACACAAGGACAAACAACCACGCGCACTCACTCCTCAGGGCAATTTTGAATGTCCAATAAACCTCACATGCAGGTTTTTGGACGGTGTGAGGAAGCCGGAGAACCCAGAGAGAACCCTGGGGACTCAAACCCAGAACCCTCTTGCTGTGAGGCGAGGGTGCTAACCACCGCCTGGTAGATGACCATGAAAACTTCTTCTAAGTTCTTTTAGGTGAATAACGATCACGTCTGCTGTTCATGTTTATCTTTCCATGCTTTTAGACCAGTTGTGTCTGCAGTAATGTGCACTTTGCAACTTTCCACCCCCGTATAATTAGTTGTGAGAATGACGCTGTGGATGGCCAGCGAATGCTAAGAGGGCAGGATGGCCGAGGTGTATAATGATCTGTGGAAATGCCAACAGTGGATCGTGACAGCCATGTGCAAACAGGGGATGACACCAATACACACTCATGAATCTATAAGACTCAGATTTCAGCTATGAATATCATTTTAGAATAAAAAAACACCACCTCTCAGTCATTTTCTCTGTCATGGATGTCCTTCATTTCTTCTCTGATGGTGTTTCTGGTACTGTAGGAGCTAATTAACCCAAAGTAGACGATATATTTTTACTTTCTCTCAATGGTAGACAGTCATGACTCTCTGTGGAGAGAGAAAAAGGCAAAAACTGACCCCTATGTCAGTGTCACTGTAACATTTTCCCCAGAGCAATCCACTAATGATCATACCATTCATTTCAGTTTTACACCAGGCTTACATAGCAACAACTTAGAAATATTCAATCATTTCAGAGATTTTGAGCTTTAAAAAATTCGGACGAAGCTGAAATTCCTCATGTGGGGGGACAATGAAAGCAGGAAACACAAAAAGAAACACAAGGAAGGTTTTTTCATCTCGAGTGTTAGATTTAGTGAAATTTGAGTATAATCAGCATTGAGATTCCACATATTTGGATACACAGCTGGAATGTGTAGAGGGGTGCAGGCTGCTGGAGACATTGTTTTATTTATTTATTTATTTTATTCATTTGTGTCAAAGTGTGTAGCGGGCCAAATAAATACACTTTAAAGAGAAGTCCCCCCCCCACCATTTTTTTGGTCCAAAATACATTTGTATGAATTGAAAATATCTTCAAATATTGAGACTTTCCTGAATCTAAGAATATAACATTACAGCATTTCTGCTTTCCAAGAGAATGAATTTTAATATTGAAAACAAACATTTTCAGTGTTGAGTGCCACCCTTTTGCCAGTGCATCAAAATAGAAACAAATGAGTGAAAATGAAGAAAATCTCGCTAGAATGCTGAAAAACTAAGACCAAAGTTAATTAAATATGAATTAAACAACTGAAGGCCAGTGAGGTCTGATCTGTGGCTTTGGTGCTCAGACGGGGGTGTGACTGGCCTCTAACCAGCTGTGGATGATGAGGTCTCTCGTTTTTCTGCGTCCTTCACCATATCAAAGCCACATGGTTTTGGTGGTCGGTCAGACCAAAAACATTTGAGTTTCCTTTCATTACAGTTTGTCATCTGTTTGATTTGGATGACAACACAAAGAATAGGCCTTGACATTACTTGGCTTTACTCTTTGATCTGATTCGGGATCTGTTTTGTGGCTGTTTCATCATTGCTCTTACAAAAACAGAGCATTTTGTTTGCCTAATTCATTTTTCAAGATGTCATCTTTTCTTCAACTTTGCAAAAAAGATTTTTGGAACACTGAATGTGTGCTCTCTCCCCTGTTTCCACTTCCATCTGTTCTCTTATCTGACCCACATAACCTTACAGCCTCTCCTCAGGACAGCTGAAACATGGATGAATATTCATGTCTCTAACACTCATTATATGTGTCTCCGTGAGTGCGAGCAGCTAAATAATAATGAGCCGGTTTCTTCTGAGGCTGTGTTGCTGTTTAACGTCTTTTTTATGGGAATTAGTTGTCACTCTTCATCATTCTTGTGTGTGAATGTGAGTAACTTAAAGCCATGTAAATGTCTCCTATGCGCTCGCTGACATGCAAACAGAGAAGCAAGCCCCAGCTTTTATGATAATGCCCTGAAAATAATCCTCCACCCGGTTCGGAGCATTAAGGACGCATTTGCATTCAGAGATAAGAGCAATCAGCTTTCCGTCCACAGCTCCTTCCTCAGACGCTCCTTCGGAGTCGTTTTACCTTTGGTCTGCACATCCACCGCCTCAAATGATTGGGTGACAAACCAGACAAATGAGGGAGCACCCTAACGAATTCAACAGATAATGGTAGAGTTGGGTCACAGACTGGTTGGTTGAGCCTCTGGGGAGTCTTTTACTCGTTGTTTTTCAGGACAGCTTAAGCTAAAAACGTCTCCGTCTATTTCAATCACTGCTCTGCTCGCGCACAAACCCGCTCCATCCCGCCTCTTTCTCTTCTAGCTGTCCCGTCTTCTCTTTGGATGAACACGGGAAAAAAAGGTGGCAAATGATGCAATTACTTCTGACCAACAGCAGCTGTCTCATCTCGTGAGCAGAGCAGAGCAGAGAGACCGGGCTTCACCCCACCGGATCACCTCATCGCAAATCTCCTAACACTTCACAACAAACACGATTCATATTCCAGGTGTGAGCAGCATCACTTACAGACAACATCTCAGCTGGAAAATGCAACACAGCTCCCCCAAAATGATGAGCTCTTTGAGTGTTTTGTTTTTCTGAGGCATTAGGAGGCCTGTAAGTCAGCAGTAAAAAGATCCAGGCTCAGCTCACCAATATGTCTCTTTAATCCTCATATTTCCTCACATGATTGGATGCGCTGGCGGTTAAGCTGCTCAGCCAGCTGAGGGATAATCAAGTTTCTGCTAATCAAAGGATAATAGAAAGGAACTGAGCTTTCTTTGCTTTTGATTAAAGATTAACAATCATTAGGTCCAGGAAGGTACGATGAGATCATTGGCACATATTCCAAGAAGTGAGTGAGTGTATACCTAATGAATTCATATGATAAATATAAAAATATTAAGTGAACAGGAACAGATACAAGTGAACAAAGTGCATTAAAAGTCAAAGGACATTTCCTTTTGGAGTATTTGTCTTCCACCCAGGAAAAGCTTAGGTGCATAAAAGCTGCACAATTGGAATTTTTATTTTATTCAAATACATTAAAGTAAATTTAAATAATTCCTGGACAAGTTCCCTTACCAGAAGAGCCCTCAATAAAAGTTCCTATGCTATAAAATACAGGACAACTCTGACCTGTCTTAGCAGAGCGATTGCTCTCTTCCTGCTGGAGTATGTGGTAGCATTGTTCCTGAGCCTGCATGTGCTGCTCCACCAGAGCGCAGTCCGGGTGGATCGCCTCCGCCTGAAGAGCAGAAAGAAACCAGGTTACAGGTAAAACATCGACTGAGCTGGCTGTAAGTAACCATTCAGAGCATGAAGCAATTAAACAATCATTTAAGCATCGACCAAATATAATTAGATTAAGAAAACACTAAACTGACAACTGAAAGACAACTTAATGTTGGTGTAAACAGACAAAAATATCCGGATTTTGGTGGATTATCTCATGTGTCTGTTTTGAGAGAGTTTAGAAGCTCAATCTAATTAATTGATCTACAACTAAACTGTTTATCCAGACATTTATTAATTCGGTTTCAAAAGCAAATATAGGTTAAAACTAAGGCCTTAGTCCATGCTCATCCTCCCTCTCCGCCCTCCTGCTGTGAAAAAAGTTTCCCCCCTGGGATCAGCCTCTGAATGATAATCACCCCCTGCAGTTACATTTTGGCGTCTGATGACTTCCTCTTTAAATTGTGAGATCCGATCTAAAGCCATGTTGTGTAAGGCATATCCATTCACTGACACAACCCGGAACAATCCAGCAACATCTGGCCCCAGATGAGTTCAAGATGACGTCATCTTCTTTGCTGCCAAGTGTAAAATAATCAGAATAATTGTTTTGCTGGTGCTGAGGGGATTTCAATGGGAGCAGATATTTGAACTGACCCACTCAGGCACAACACCTGCCTGTTGGACAGATGGACCCAGTGCAGGTGAGGGTGACCTGTGACCTGCATTATCCAGGATTAACACATGGGGAGATGCTCTTCTTTTAGAGGTAAACATCCTCTGTTCTGATTCAAGGGGCTGTTGGCTGATGCATCCATATGTT